AGTATGGAGGGATTACCGTGGATGATTAGCGGTGATTTCAACATATTCTTGCATCCGATGAACGCATGGGTGGTGTATCGGACCGCTCTGCGGAGATCTTAGATTTCTCGCATGTTGTATCGGACTGTGAGCTCATCGACGCTGGCTACGAAGGGGCTCCCTTTACGTGGGAGAGGGCTGGAGTCAAGGAGAGGCTCGACCGCGCTCTCTATTCAGAGGCGTGGACGAGGGTGTTTGTGACCACGGTTGTAACGCACCTACCTCGAATTGGATCCGACCATGCACCCCTTCTGATTCGTTGTCGGTTCTCCATCTCCCCTCGGCAAGCGTCCTTCCGTTTCCAGAACATGTGGGTCCGTCATCATTCTTATTACGATACTGTTAGAGCCTCCTGGCAGCAGGCTACGCACCTCTATGGGATGCGCAACCTGGAGGAGAAGCTCAAGAGACTCCGCCGCGTTTTGAAGCAGTGGAACTAGACGACCTTTGGTGACATTTCTCAGCGCCTTACTGCAGCTCAGACTGCGTATGCGGAGGCAGAACGGGCCTATGATTTGGATTCTTCGCCAGAGAATAGGTCCGAGATGCGACGTTGCCATGCTGAGTACCAGTTGCGCCTCCTCATGGAGGAGGACTTCTGGAAGCAGAAGGCTGCTGTGCGCTGGGTTGCTGAGGGGGAGCGTAGTACCAAGTTCTTCCAGGGATTCGTGAGGCAGAAGCGAGTCAAGTCGTATATCTATAGTGTCGAGGATAACGGGTCATCCGTGACCCAGGAGTCCCAGATACGGGAGTCGGCTAGGGCTTACTTCCACTCTCTCTTTTCCTCTGAGCGGGATTTGCTTACGCACCCCGACCCGGACCTTTTTCCGACCATCCCGCAGTCGGTTGACCTTGTTGACCTCTGTGACCTCCCGAGTAAGGAGGAAGTCAGGGAGGCTGTGTTTGGGATTGATCCCAACAGCGTTTCTGGACCGGATGACTTTTCGTCCCTCTTCTTCCAGTCTTGTTGGGAGATTGTGGGTACTGACGTAGAGGAGGCTGTGAGGGATTTTTTCTCTGGCCACCAGATGCCAGAGTCCTTCACGGCTACATCCATCATTTTGATCCTGAAGAGATCGGGACCTAGTTCTTGGTCTGACTATAGACCTATCAGCCTATGCAACGTGACTAACAAGATCATTTCTAGAATCCTCAACAGTCGCCTCGCCCCTCTCCTCCCCCTCCTTGTCTCCCCGAACCAGAGTGGATTCATCAAGGATCGAGTCATCAGTGATAATATCCTATTGGCTCAGGAGATGATACACGACATCTCTCATGCGAATCGTACACGAACCCCGAACCTCGTGCTGAAGCTAGACATGGCCAAAACATATGATAGGGTCGAGTGGCCGTTTCTCAGAGAGGTACTGTCTCGGATGGGATTCCCTAACCGTTGGATTAGCTTTATGGAGGCATGTGTGGAACACTGCACATTCTCCGTTTTGATTAATGGTAGCCCCACGACCTTTTTTCCATCTACCCGCGGCCTTCGTCAAGGGGACCCCTTATCCCCCTCCCTTTTTGTTCTAGTGGCTGACTATCTCTCTCGCTGTCTTGACGGCTTCATTCGTGATTTTCCGAGGATGACCTACAGCACGCGTGGCTGTGGACCTCCCGTTTCCCACCT